CTGGGTGACAGAGCAAGATTCTGTCTCAAAAAAAAAAAAAAAAAAAAAGAGAAAAAAAAGGCCAGTCATGGTGGCTCACGCATTTAATCGCAGCACTTTGGGAGGCTGAGGTGGGAGGTACACGAGGTCAGGAGTTTGAGGCCACCCTGACCAACATGGTGAAACCCCATCTCTATTAAAAATACAAAAATTCACTGATTGTGGTGGGGGGTGCCTGTATTCCCAGCTACTCAGGAGGCTGAGGCAGGAGAATCACTTGAACCCAGGAGGTGGAGGTTGCAGTGAGCTGAGATCACGCCACTGCACTCCAGCCTGGGCAACAGTGTGAGACTCCATCTCAAAAGAAAAGGGAAAACAAACAGACTATTATGGTAAAGAGTTGTATATTTGTACCTATTTTAGTGACAAAATAGTAAAAATAAGAAAACACTGTTCGGGCCCTAGCCCTGTCCGCACCCTCTCACTCCCTCTCCGCACCTTTCCAAGCAACTCGCCTGCCGTTCACCGAGCACAGCAGCCTATGTCAGTGGTGTTCTTGCTTCTGCCTCAAAAGCGCCTTCTCGACTTTTTCACCTTACTAAAGACTACAGGTTCTTTAAAATTCTGATCAGCAGAGCGCTGTGGTCCCTGCCGACCGGTAGTCCCAGCTACGTGGGAGGCTGAGGCAGAAGGATCACTTCAGCTCATTCTCCTGCCTCAGCCTCCCAAGTAGCCGGGATTACAAGTACCTGCCACCAAGCCCCGCTAATTTTTGTATTTTTAGTGAATATGGGCTTTCACCATGTTGGTCAGCCCAGGAGTTTGAGACCAGCCTAAGCAACATAGTAAAATCCCTGTCTTTAAAAATAATAATAATAAAATTGACCAGGCGTGGTGGCTCACACCTGTAATCCCAGCACTTTGGGAGGCTAATGCGGGCCAGTCATCTGAGGTCAGGAGTTCAAGACCAGCCTGGTCAACATGGTAAAACCCCATTTCTACTAAAAATACAAAAATTAGCTGGGCCTGGTGGCATGTGCCTGTAATCCCAGCTACTCAGGAGGCTGAGGCAGGAGAATTGCATGAACCCAGAAGACGGAGGCTGCAATGAGCCAAGATTGTGCCACTGCACTCCAGCCTGGGTCACAGAGTGAGATTCAGTCTTAAAAAGTAATAATAATAAAATAAAATTCTGCTCAGAGGCTGAGTTTCCCTTGAACACCTCCCTAGTCCCATCTCCCCTGCCACCAGTGTGACCCGGCATCTTTCCTCCAAGTCCCACAGCACTCCAGAATTCCTCACTGTATGGAGACCCCAGACTCTCCTGGGCCTACACCTCGGTGGCCCACATGCTCATTCGACCCTTCCGACAAGCACAGGAGATAGGTATCATCATCTCCCCACTTTAAGGATGAGAAAATAGAGCCTTAGAGAGGTAACCAAAGCAGTGGGACTAGGTTAAACCCAAACTGTCTACTCCGGGTTAGTAATCCCAGCACTTTGGGAAGTCAAGGCAGGTGGATCACTTGAGCCCAGGAGTTTGAGAATGCTCTGGACAATGTGGTGTAACCCAATCTTTACAAAAACTATAAAAATTAGCCAGACATGGTGGTGCATGCCTATAGTCCCAGCTACTTGAGAGGCTGAGGTGGGAGGATCTCTTGAGCCTGAGAGGCAGAGGTTACAGTGAGCCGAGATCACACTACACCACTGCACTCCAGCCTGGCCAACAGAGTGAGACCCCCCTCTCAAAAACAAAACAAAACAAAACAAGTCTATTCCAAAGCTTTTGCCCTTGCAACTACGCAATAACAGGTATATGTTTGTTTCCCAAAATCTGGTTGCTGGGATACAGAAAAACACATAAGGAACCCTGTTAACTCACCTCCAGTTTTTCCTTGAGAATTCTAGTCCTCTGTAGTTTTATCATTTCATTTCTTTCTAAAACAGCCTCTCGCGGACTCTGAATGGCTTGCTAGGTTGTGAAAGGACACAAAAGCATGCAGAGAGCAGCGTTATCAACAGTGATGACGTGGTAAGATGCACATTTTTCGGCAGATCTTCATTTGCTCCAGACAGTCAAATATGCAGGTACTGTATTGGAATTATACGCAGTTGACCCTTGGACAACATGAGTTTGAACTGTGTGGGTCCACTTATACATGGATTCTTTTTCAATAAACATACTGAAAAAGATTTTGAAGATTTGCAACAATTTGAAAAAACTCACAAACCCTGTAGCCTAGAACTATCAAAAAAATTAAGAAAAAGGCATATCATGAATGCATAAAATAGATGTAGATTCCAGTTTAGATTCGATCATGTATTACCATGAAATGCACACGTTTCTATTATAAAAAGTTAAAATTTATCAAAACTTCTGTAAATACCTACAGACGGTACATGGCACCATTTGCAGTCAGGAGAAATATAAACAAACGTTAAGATGTAACATTAAATTATAACTGCATATAATGAACTGTGGTACACACTACACTACTGCAATCACTTCAGAGCCATCCCTTTTGAAGTTGTGGTGAGCTCAAGTGTTGCCAATATCCACTTAAAAGGCCAAACACCATGTGATGCTAATCATCTCCATGTGAGCGGTTCATTGGTCCGGTAAATTGCATTTAAAAAGTGATCTCTTGCAGTTCTCATGTATTTTTCAACCTGCTTAGTGCAATACCCTAAATCTTGAATAACACCATGGGACCCATGTGAAGTCCAGTGATCCTGGAGGGCTCCCAAGTAGCAGAGAAAAGCCATGACATCATAAGAAAAGGTTGAATTGCTTCATATGAACTATAGATTGAGGTCTGCAGCTGTGGTTGCCTGTCATTTTAGATGTAGGATTCATCTTGTAAACAGATGAAGTAAACTTACAGTATTGATAAATACAGTACCGTATTGTAAATGTATTTTCTCTTCCTTATGATTTTTTTGTTTTTCTTTTGAGAGGGAGTTTCACTATTATTGCCCCGGCTGGAATACAATGGTGCGATCCCAGCTAACTGCAAACTCTGCCTCCTGGGTTCAAGTGGTTCTCCTGCCTCAGCCTCCCAAGTAGCCACCACGCCCGGCTAATTTTGTATTTTTAGTAGAGATGAGGTTTCTCCATGTTGGTCAGGCTGGTCTTGAACTCCCGACCTCAGATGACCTGTCTTGGCATCCCAAAGTGCTGGGATTACAGGTGTGAGATACCACGCCTGGTCTTCCTTATGATTTTCTTAATAACATTTTCTTTTCTCTAGCTTATTTAATTGTAAGAATACAGAACATAATACCCATAGCATACAAAATATGTATTAATTGACTGTATCGGTAAGACTTTCAATCAAGGGTGGGCTATTAGTAGTTAAGTTTTTGGGGAATCAAAAATTATGTGTGGATTTTTGACTGAGCAGGGGGATGGCACCCTAACCTCTAAGTTGTTCAAGGGTCAACTGTAATATCAGTCATAAAAAGTATTATTTTAAAAAGAACTAGTTCAGGTTAGGCATGGTGGCTCATGCCTGTAATCCCAGCAATACGGGAGGTGGAGATGGGCGGATCATCTGAGGTCAGGAGTTCAAGACCAGCCTGGTCAACATGGTGAAACCCCATCTCTACTAAAAATACAAAAATTAGCTGGGCGTGGTGGTATGTGCCAGTAATCCCAGCTACTCCGGAGGCTGAGACAGGAGAATCGCTTGAATCTGGGAGGCAGAGGTTGCAGTGAGCCGAGATTGTACCACCACACTCCAGCCTGGCTGACAGAGTAAGACTCTGTCTCAGAAAATAATAATAATAATTTAAAAAGAAAAAGAACTAGTTCATACTTACATTTCCCGCCTTTCTTTCCCTGAAACATAATTAGAAAAATGTAACAATTACTTAAATTTTACGATGTGCCATGGCAGTCCTTCAATTTTCCTCAAAAGTAACACATGCTGCCCTGTGTCTGTGCCTTTTCATAAGGTCTTTCTTTGACCCGATGCTCTCTCTTCTGACCCACCTCCAGCATCCACTTGAAAAAAGTGCCTGCATTTCTCAATGGCCAGTCAGCGTTTTGTCAACCGTGAACGTTTTCTGTGACCTCACTCCCTGTCCCAGTCAAAAACGCAGCCTTCTCACCCTGGGTTCCGGTAGCACCTGGCTCGTCCTTTCACGTATAACCTTTAACCATCCTACAGACAATGAACTCAGAGACTGGGCAAGGTGCCTCTGAATCTACAGTCCCTAGCCACGTTCAATAAATACTTATTATTAATAAATCAGATTTACTTATGTGAATGTCAGCGTTGGCATTGGAAAGGGAGGGCCAGAGATATTATTCTGCGCTGGGGTGAGACGGGGAATAATGCTGGAGGGAAAAAAATGAAGCTGCAATTCCAACCCATGAGACTAAGTGAATTCCTGGAGATGGCAGTCAGACCCAAGCTTCAGCGGGCGTAGAGGAAAGGGTGGAGGGGCCGGTAAAGCAGCTCTTGGAGGCGAGAAGCATCCGTGACATCACATCCCATGAGCACACACCCCATGGATCCAGGAAAGCCCAGTTTATACCTGCTGATCCCCTCTAAGGACTAATCACTCCCCCCTCACTCTCGAAAATGTCCCAATATGGAAGGTAAGTTATAGCCTTCCTAGCTATAGGACAACAGAGTTCTCCATGGAAACCCACATCTAGTAAGCCCTAAAATGCTTAATTTTCACTGTTATTTGTTAGAACACGACTCTTAAGAGAATGCATCTACCTTTGCCTGAAGTTCTAAAACCTTAAGAACCTGTTGCAAGTGAGTTAAAAAGCTCATGAGTCTCTGGCTGGGAATGCTGGGCTTAAACCTAGAAGATGGGTTGATCTGTGCAGCAAACCACCATGGCACATGTTTACTGTGTAACAAACCTGCACATTCCTGCACCCTGGAACTTATAAAAACAAAAATAAATGTTTTTAATGATTTTTAGAACACTCAGGAGTAAAAAACCTGAAACATCAAAGCTGTACCCTAGGCCAGGCACAGGCCCATGCCTGTAATCCCAGCACTTTGGGAGGCTGAGGTGGGTGGATCACCTGAGGTCCGGAGTTCAAGACCACTCTGGCCAACATGGCGAAACCCTGTCTCTACTAAAAATACAAAAATTAGTGAGGCGTACTAGCTGGCACCTGTAATCCCAGCTACTCAGGAGGCTGAGGCAGGAGAATTGCTTGAACCCGGAAGGCAGAGGTTGCAGTAAACCGAGATCAAACCATTGCACTCTAGCCTGGGCAACAAAGCAAGACTCTGTTTCAAAGAAAAAAGCTGTACCCTGCCAGATAGGATTATGGGCTGTACCTCCTAGTTACGGGGGCATCTACACTTTCTACATCTGTGGGGCAGGTGGGACCATCACATCCCACAGTGCAGGAGGTACCACCTGCATCTGGTACATGTGAGTGGCACCCCCGGAGCTATGTAGGGGATACCAGCTTGGCACTAAGCAGTTACGCTGGGAGGTTCAGATTCCCGAGACAACCCAACCAAGGGTCCTGATGTCCCAGGAAGTCACCAGCCTTTTCTTTCATCCCCAACAGTCACTTCGTGAAGCCCAAGATGCTCACCATGTTATAAGTCAAGCTCCGTGCTACTGTAATCAGGACCCACAGACGAAAGCCCCTGGCTGGAGCCCCCATCCCCGCGAGCCCAGCACAATACCTTAGGTATTCTGGCAAGTGGAGTTTGTCCGTCTTGGTGACCACCAGGGCCACATCCCTACAGAAGCCCCGCTGGCAGGCTTTGATGCTCTCATTCAGAAGGTCTTCGTGGGCTCGCCCCCCAGAAACTCGCTCTACATCACTCAACACCCAGATCACCGAGCACTTGTCAATGGTCTGCAAAACATGACCACACCATGTGTCAGCACAGGAATGGAGTCACGGCTCCCGAGGACCGATTCCCTAATGTACTGCTTCAGCCTCTCCCTCCAGTCCCACCCCTCACAGCTCCCCTCCACACTCTGTGCACCAGCGGGCCAATGAACATGAAATAACAACGCATTAATGGCATAAATGTTGCTCTATTGAATATGTAACTTTCACATGACGGTCATGCATAGCCTTGTGACACTTCTCTAATTGTATTGCTACTCTTATCTTACCTCCACATAAATGAAAATCTGGTTCAATTCGGGGATTGAGTTTATTTGCAGTTCCTCGGCACTTTGCACATAAAGGGGTGACAAGTTTGTGACTTGATAATTATCATTTTGCTTTATACCTGTAGCTTTTAACTAGCAGAGAGATAGAAACTGAGCTATGTGCCATTTCTCATATGTGCCTTGTTCTGTTAACTCCCTGGCCACAGCCTCCGCCTAGCCCAACTTGTCCCTCAAGATTGGAGGGCCCCTCAAGCGTGGGCTAGCCTCTGCGTCCTGTAACATCTGGACTTAACCTCCCGCAGCGCCTTTGAGACACAGTGACGCACCAGGTCTGCTCTCTGCCCCACAGTGGGAAGCAGCCATCTGCACCTTTCCTCTTGGGATCCACCTCACCTTAAACCCAGAGCTTACCACACAGGAGAGGCTTCACAGAAGTTTGCGGCATTAGAGATCGACAGAATTCCATAAATCAGCCCTCCAGCCAGTCCCAGATCCATCACTGGCTGGCTTTATCTCAGTTGTCCCCTGGGGGAGAGTCTTGTTTCTCCAGACCTAGATTTCGTGGTGCCCCTACCCCCAAGCTGTCACCTGGCGGCATCATTTTGGTTTGACTGCACCTGCATGTTTAATGCAATGCCACCAGATGGCAGCAGGGAGCCAGAAACCATTTGACAAGTTGCAAAAGCCAATGAACATGAAATAACAACGCATTAATGGCATAAATGTTGCTCTATTAAATATGCAACTTTCACATGACAGTGATGTGTAGCCTTGTGACATTTCTCTAATTGTATTCTTACTGTTGTCTTACCTCCACATAAATGAAAATCTGGTTCAACTCAGGGATTGAGTTTATTTGGGGTTCCTCAGTGCTTTGCATATAAAGGGGTGACAAGTTTGTGACGTGGTAACTAAATCACCATTTCACTTTATACCCATAGTTTTTAACTAGTATAGATTTTGTGCCCCAGAAGATACAGCGAGTCTCCAATTTGTGATGATTCAGCTTACTCTTTGTCTTTACAACTTTACAATGGGTTTGCTGAACAATTGGTGAGTCTAAGACAATCAGGATGGCTGGATTTATGATTACAGCTTACAGTGAGCTTATCAGGATGCAATTCCATGGTACGTCAATGAGCATGTGTATTTGGCAATGTCTGGAGACATTTTTAACTGTGACAACTTGGGGGGTGCTAGCGGGTAGAGGCCGAGGATGCTGCTGAATATTTTTCAATGCACAGGAAAGCCCCACCCCCACCCCCACCCCATCCCACAAAGAATTATCTGGCAGCCCAAAATGTCAAGAGGTTAAGAAACCCTTATCCTGGACAGTGGGTTTCAGCTTGCTTTTAGCAGGGGAGCCTTTTTCAAATGAAATCTTAGTTAGAATTCCAACATACAAACTTGATTTTTTTATATATGGAGTTTCACTCTTGTTGCCCAGGCTGGAGTGCAATGGGGTGATACCAGCTCACCACAACCTCCATCTCCCAGGTTCAAGCAATTCTCCTGCCTCAGCCTCCAGAGTATCTGGGATTACAGGCATGCACCACCATGCCCTGCTAATTTTTTTTTTTGTATTATTTTTTGTATTTTTAGTAGAGATGTGGTTTCTCCATGCTGGTCAGTCTGGTCTCGAACTCCTGACCCCAGGTGATCCGCCCACCTCAGCCTCCTAAAATAAACTTGATTTTTTTTTTTTGGGACAGAGTTTCGCTCTTGTTACCCAGGCTGGAATGCAATGGCGCGATCTCGGCTCACCGCAACCTCCGCCTCCTGGGTTCAGGCAATTCTCCTGCCTCAGCCTCCTGAGTAGCTGGGATTACAGGCACGCACCACCATGCCCAGCTAATTTTTTGTATTTTTAGTAGAGACGGGGTTTCACCATGTTGACCAGGATGGTCTCGATCTCTTGACCTCGTGATCCACCCGCCTCGGCCTCCCAAAGTGCTGGGATTACAGGCTTGAGCCACCGCGCCCGGCAAACTTGATTTTTAAAAGCAGAATTGCTCTGGTTGAATTGGGAGTGGAGGACCTGGAACCACGATCTGCTCAATGCCCTCTACCCTCTGTCCATAAATCTTTTGGACCCATAAATCATTGCTTAAAAAGCATCAGTTTCTCGAGTTAGACAAACTCCTTGGATTATGGGAAGTAAATGAGGCCCAAGTGGTAAAGAGACTCACGCAGGGCCACACAACCATGGGTCCTGACTCTCCTCTATACGTGAACAGACTTTGATTTAGGCAAGAATATAAAAACCATTATGGCCCTTCTGCTTCCCAAACTATAATCAACTTAGAAAAGCTTTGGGGTCTGGGCCAGATGTGGTGGCTCGTGCCCATTTGGGAAGCTGAAGCAGGCAGATCACTTGAGCTTAGGAGTTCAAGACCAGCCTGAGTAACATGGTAAAATCTCATCCCTACAAAAAATATTAACCAAGCGTGGTGATGTGCACCTGTAGCCCCAGCTACTCGGGAGGCTGGGACAGGAGGGTTGAGGTTGCAGTGAGCCACCGCTGTGCCACTGCGCTCCAGCCTGGGCAACAGAGCAAGATCCTGTCTCCAACAAAACAAAACAAAAGTAGCAGCAGCTTCCAGCTCTGTCGTGTCAACAGTGGGCAGAGAATAGTCCAGCAAGTGGCAGACCTTTAGGATGCCAGGCTGGGAGCTCCTCAGGGGCAGGGCCCCCGTCACCTTCATATTCCCCATGGTCCTTGTAAAGTCTTTTAGGCTGACTGACAGCACCACAGATGCCATGGTAACCTCGTGACCTGCACGGACAGTCCAGATGAGTTCCTGGAAAATCTGAAGTCCCTGGAAGACCACGATAAGGAGAGGAAATGATCCACCCCTGTGGCGCCTAATCAGCTTTGAGACATTCTCTATTGTTCCTTATTCCCGCCTCAGTGGATAAGGCCATTGGACTTTGTAACCGACCCTGGTCAACTTCGTGACTCCAGACCCTACGACCCCCTCCCAGCTTGCAAAAACCGCCCTAAACTGTAACTTCTGTCACTTTGCACTGCCTACCCCAAACCTATACAACCAACTCCTATCCAACGGCCCTCTGCTGATTCTTTTCGGACTCAGCCCACCGCACCTGGGTGAATAAACAGCCATGTTGCGCGCACAAAGCCTGCTTGGGGGAGGGGGGGTCTCGTCATTCGGAGCGCGCATTTCAACAGTCCTGGGAAGCCACAGGTGCTTAGTGTTCGTTAACAGGGGAAAAGAACAGCAACCATGAAGGGGGCAGTGGTCCCCCTTACATTTCAGGCCCCACACGAAGCTCCCCACCGCCAGTAAGTGGTGCAGAAGATACCAAAAAAGCATTTCTATACAACCAGAACAGCTGGACTTAGGAGCAGATGAGACGGCGTCCCACCACCCCCATCTGCATCTCCCCAGGCCCCACAAGGAGAATGGGCCTCAGAGGGGTTCCGAGACATGTCTCAAGTCACATGACTTCTAAGTGGCAGATCAGATTCAGGGACATCAGAATTCATACCGGGGTTTAGGGAAGGCAAGCCTGGCAGCCTGAGAGACCTGGGGAGGGCCACCACGCTGCTCTCCCTGCAAAGTGGGAGTCTTGAGTGACTTCTTGTGAGAGGAGGTCAAAAAACCCACAAGAATGCAGGAGAGCCGGGCCAGGCAGAGCACACTGGGGACCACCCCTTGCTTCAGCCCGACCTCCCCAGAGCATGTTTTCTGAGCCAGAGTTGCCGGCTTTGATGAGCTGCCCCGTGTATCTGAACTGGCTGAGCCGCGGCTCCATCCAGTGAGAGTCCCTGGCCGCCTTCCTGGGCTGTCGTTCCCTTGCCTGAGCCTGGAACTAGCCAAGGTTGGAGATTTCCACCCCAGGATCTGAGGCCCTGCAGAAACTAAGGCTTACAAGGCCAGGCCCGGGGCACTGACCAAGGGGAAGGACACAGGGGCTGCCTTCCTCCTGGAGGAGGACATAATACAGAGCGTGTCCTGGGGCGAGAGGGGTAGACAGAGCCCCAGCAAGGAAGTTAGGAAACCTGCTCTCCAGTTCAAGGCTGTGGGATCCTGGACAAGTTACTTCCCCTCTCTGAGCCTTCACGTCTTCATCTGTACAATCAGGGCAGAGGCTGGAGCCTGTCCTAGATTGAGACGGGAAGCCGTGGTCACCAAGCTCCCCTGGCACACATTCATTCATCTCAACAAACCTGTGGAGCTTCAGGAACTGGATTCTTCGGCAGCTGCTGAGCTGCTCACAACTCACTGATGCTGGTCTCTACTCCCAGTCCTCGTCCAGCTCCGGGGCTCCTGGGTTCCTCCCACCCTGTGGTCCAGAGCGCCTCTGTCTACCATGCCCTTTCTCAATCACAGGCCCCAGTCCCTCTCTTTCTGTAAGTTTTCCCAGGAAGCCAAACTCTGGTGCAGTAGAGCTAAAGACCCCGGAACTTCTCCAGGCCTGTCTTCCACAGCCTCCTTCCTCCACCCACCCCACACTCCTTCCCTTCACCCAGGAAGACGCTCCCTGCCCCCACCAGGCCAGCTTCCTCAGCCCTCCAGCTCCACGCTGACGCTGCTCTCTGGCCAGCAATGGTGCTCGGGAGGTTTCAACCGCAGCCTCCTCGTTTGCCTGGGGGAGGCTGAGCATGTCCCTTCTGAAGCCCCACCCACCTCTATATGGAAATGAATCACTTTGTGCTCCCTTTTTAAAAGTGATATGGCTTATTAATTACTATGGACTACGAAACTCACAAGCAATAGGATTTCGTCCCTACAAAAGCTACTACAAAGTTAAGCAGATAATCAATAGGTGTTTGCTGAAGGAATGCAATCTCTCCTACCTCTCATCCATCACTTTCTGCCACGGGGTGTAGCTCTTCTATTAGACAATGCTAAGACTTGTGAGAAGGCTCTGCTTCTCATTCAACATTGTTTTATTCGGCCTTCAACATTTTATTTGTAAAAGCAATACATGTGTTTAAAAAATATGCAAATGCTACACAGATGTATGTAGTAAAAAGTGTTAATAAACACAGAAACTGCTGTCAACTGTTGGATGTGTAGCTTAGAAGGCAGGGGCGTTCTGCCGCTGTGCATTTATAAACGTGGCATGCACATGTAAGCTTCTTGACGTAACAGGTCTTGCTCTGCAACTCCTCATTCACTTTTCATCGAGTTAGTTCTACCGTGTAAAATATAGCAGGGGTTAAGAACAGAGGCTCCCAAGGCATCTTGGCTGGGTGAAAACCCTAGTGTTACCAGCAGTAACTTACTTCACTTACAGCATCACGTAGCCCAAAGTCATACAGCAAATGCCTATTATTAGTTATAATTTTTTTGTTGAAACAGGGTCTCGTCACGCAGGCTGGAGTGCAGCAGCACGATCTTGGCTCCCTGCAGCCTCTGCCTCCCAGGTTCAAGCAATTCTCCCACCTCAACCTCCCAAGTAGCTAGGACTACAGGTGTGGACCACCAAGCCTAATTAATTTTTCGATTTTTTGGTAGAGACGGGATTCACCATGTTGGCCAGACAGTTCTTGAACTCCTGATCTCAAATGATCTGCCTACCTCAGCCTCCCAAAGTGCTGGGATGGCAGGCGTAGCTACAATGTTTGCATCCTCAGTGCTGAGTATAGGGTATGTGTTTGATACATGAAAAATAAATGAACAAGGAGATGCATTCTTAGAAATAGCTCAACCTCTAGCCACTAAGTGCAGATTTAACTATCCTCCTGCTTAACTTTCTTGTGGTGCACACGCCTGGGGAGTGGCTGTTCAGCTCACATGTAGGGGGTGCCTAAGCATTCACTTGCTGGAATTGAACCGCTCCCCAAGCCCTTGACTGACGGGATGAGCGAACCTTCTTCCAAACGACCACCTTCAGCCACAGCTGATCTCACTAGCAATGGGTACCTATTCCAGAAAGCTAATTCACTCGCTGGGCAGTAACCGCTCAGGTTTTTCTCCTTGGGAATTTGAGCTGAAAGACATAAAGACTGGCCAGGTGTGGTGGCTCACACCTGTAATTCCAGCACTTTGGAAGGCCAAGGTCTGGAGGATCACAAGGTCAGGAGATCCAGACCATCCTGGCTGACAGGGTAAAACCCTGTCTCTACTAAAAATATAAAAAAAAAATTAGCAGGGCATGGTGGCATGCACCTGTAGTTCCAGCTACTCAGGAGGCTGAGGCAGGAGAATCGGTTGAACCTGGGAGGCGGGGGTTACAGTGAGCCAAAATCACACCACTATACTCCAGCTTGGGTGACAGAGCAAGACTCTGTCTCAAAAAAAAAAAAAAGAAAAAGAAAAGAAAAAAATAAAGACATAAAGACTATAGTCAGACACTGGGAGGAACATGAACTGCAAGGTCATTTAGAAACAGGGCAAAGTCAGTCATTTAGACATTGTGGATCCCCATGGCTTAGTAGAGAAAGCTGGGAGAGGGGCAGGACTTTGTGGAGCGATGCACAAAATAAGCATGGGCACAAGAGACCACACAGAGAATGAGAGCAAGAGCAACTGCCTCCATCCTGACCCGCCATCCTGAGGCCTGTCTGTGTCTCATGAGGTCCTTTGATAGCCTTTTGATAACCCCTCTTAACTTGGGGCTGCAACAGTGGGTGTTTCTGTTCCTTAGAGCCAACGCAGTCTGTGGCCTCCTAGTTCTTGGTGACTGGCTGCAGCTTCTCTGCTTTGTCCCCAGCGCTTAGCCTCCCCGTTCCACTCTGTCCTTCATCACTCTGCTGACTTGAGTCACGGTATTGCTGGTCTTTCTCATACATCACACATACTTGTCCTGGCTCCAACAATCACATCCTGTGATTCCTCCCTCCCCAGTTTCTCTGACCGCTCATATACTGCCAGGGCCAGAGGCTTAGAACACAGAAATTAGAATAATTTGGCGGAGTATGGTGGCTCACGCTTGTAATCCCAGCACTTTGGGAGGCCAAGGCAGGTAGATCACAGGATCAGGAGTTCTAGACCAGCCTGGCCAACACCGTGAAACCCTGTCACTACTAAAAATACAAAAATAAGCTGGATATGGTGGTGGGTGCCTGCAATCCCAGCTACTCAGGAGGCTGAGGCAAGAGAATAGCTTGAACCCAGGAGGTGGAGGTTGCAGTGAGCCGAGGTCACAGCACTGCACTCCAGCCTGGTGACAAAGCAAGACTCTGTCTCAAAAAAATAAATTAATAAATTGGTAGAATTTAATTCCAGTGAACTCATAAAATCCCTGAAGCTGAAAGCAAAGGGATTTTATTGCTTTGTTGCTTGAGAAAGGATAGAGGCGTTGAGGGAAGAGTGAACTAAGCCTACTAAAGACACTTACCTTTTTCCACATCTCGTCCCTCTTGCTGTTGAAATCGCCTGTACCTGGGATGTCCACCAGCACGACCCCTTCTGGGATCAGGTCGGATTTGGGAAGAGTCACTTCCACATGTTTGATCAAGGGCCAGATGTGCATCTCAGCGGCCTCTTCATCCCAGTCTCTCCTCTGCATGCGGATGTAGGGGTCCAGCTTGATGGACAGCTCTTCTGCCTGAAGAAGAAGGACAGAGTCACACACACCAGCCATGCTCCTAGCTCTGTTCTCCCGGGTTGGCTGTGATGCAGGTTCATGGTAGATATGCCGAGTAAGGGTAAGAAGTGTACCCAACAAGGGGCATCAGGAGGCCTGCAATCAGATCCGCAGGACCTAGAACCTGAGAGCCGGGAAAGAAGTTCAAGCTCCTTACCTGACAGATGGAACAAAAACCAACGTTAGCTCAAATGGAACCTTAGGGAAGTTATAACATTGCTGGATAATAAGCTCATCTTCTCAACTACACTGCGTTCTAAAATTAACGTTAGTAATATGTAATTGATATTTGCGCTACCAGAAATCTAGCAATGACTATAGAAAATTGACAGTGATATGGTAATCATATTTTCCAAATTGAAAATTGATCTAAAATTGGATCTTAAAAAGAGTTTTTAAAATTTATCTTCCGATTACAAAAAATACCTTGAGAGGTAGGCATTTCTAGGATAGTTTAATGATGGTGAATGAGAGAGGGAATAGTTCTTAGACTGCGGTTTCTGCTTAAACATGTCTTGGGACAATGACACATCCATGCCAGCAACTATGAGAGTGAATCTCAACTGGGGCACTTCAGTGTATGG